TCTTTCCTCTCTGGGCTTGCTGTCACTTCGTCCTTCCTAATATTACAAGCCAAAAATGGTTAAAGAAATAGAAAGTGACGCCCTCTTCTTGCCATATATTTGTTTATTTTATTTTTTATGTGAGGACAATCTTGGTGTTTTTATCATAGGACCTAATTTAGGCGTTATTGTGTGACACAATAATAATGGTTTGAGGGGCGATGACCAAAATTTAGATAGATATATATTCTTTTGGCACAGTGAGTGGAAACTAAATACTCCACTGGAACGCATGATAGCTGAAGCTAAAAAGCCAAAGGAGCAACAAAATCTGTCTTCAATTAACCTCAGTAGAAGAAAGAATATAATTATAAAATCCTCTGATGTGACTGTGGGAACACCAATAAGAAACAAAAACTAGATTCCTAAGTTTTTTCCAACCCTCTATCAACCCTGTGGAAAGTTCATGCTCTTTTATTCCAATTTAACTTAGTCTCGTGATAAAGTAGCCATTTAAGCATTCAACCAAACGGTATTACAATTCGTCTTGAAAGGGATGGGTACAAAGTAAAGACGTTGTGAAACTTTTTCCTGTAGTTCATGCCCTCCCTCAACCACAAATCTGCAAACGCTAGTGCCAGAGGCTAGTAGAAAAAGGACGTCACACGAATAAGTGATCCATATTTCCTCCCTTAATCTGCACATAATGTCTGAGCGGGGGATAGGTTCCAGTTTAGGTATCTAAATTTAAATGGAAGCCTCCTACGAGTATTCATACCTCATGAGAAGGGGTACACCTATTAAAGGCCATCAGGATCCTTTATAGGATGTATGTCAAAGATGTTTATGTTTAGTTTGTATGGCAATGTCTTCAAAGATGTACATCATAAGTAGACACTTGTCAATTTCAAAACAGTTATTTTAACTATGCATTATCACTATCAATTTAAGCTAATTACGGATATACATCAATTAGAATATTCAATTTATTTGTCTCCCAAAAAAACAACGTTTTAAATGATTGATGACGTTGATTTTAATGTCCTTTAATTAAGTAATTAATCTCCATAAGAGAACTCTTCTCTTCACTTTCATGTCATTTAGGTTTCTTCTTAAGGTTTTAAAATTTGCCTTCTTAATGTGTAAAACAGGCGCCTGGGGTATATCCTTTTTGTACTGATGGGGCTTTTGTCTTCTAGTATACAGGCTTCTAATGCTGTAGATTTAAACTGCAGGACTTATAAACAGTGAGAACTATAAGAACCCTTCTTTTTGGATAAAGAGCCACTAGGAAAGTTCATGAATGTATCTGGATGAGATTGCCATTCCAAAATAATCTGTTGGTGGAAGAGAGATTTTCGTTCGACCAGTCTGTAGATCCGAAGGAATTATTCAAGAAAGTACTGTTCGAGTCTTTCATACCGTGATTTAAACAAAAGTTAGGATTGTTCGGATATCTTGGGGCTTTCTTTTGTGAATAGAAACAACGTCTTTCCGTTTTCTTAGCTAATGTTCTTTGGACAATAAGAGTGTATAGACGATAAGAAACGATGAGATTTTTGTTTTATCAGTGTCCAGAATGGTCGACGATATCCTTTCTGTGTATATCATACGAAGGGCTTGGAAGAAGCTTCTAAAAAGTTTATTAAAAAACAACTCCTTGGTTTCGTTGTTCTAAATGTAGGCATGACACTGGTTTGAAAAAACTTTGTTCTGTATGTTCATTTCAGTGATCAATGTTTTTATTATAATGACGAACTGCTGATACCTTTTGAAGTGTCCTTGGGCATGATGCTGTTGTGTGGATCCACTTAGAGCAGTGTGTTTCAATCGCATTATTTGTTCAGCTGCAAGTTCCTCGGCAGTTCTTACAAGGCCACTACTTGTTGCAGGTTGCTGAACGAGCACTGTTTCTGTGGAACAACGAACACATTGTTGGCTTGATAGCCCAAAACCGGGGTGTGGTATTACCAATAATTTTCGAAGCATTGGAGAAGAATATCCGAAGTCATTGGAACCAGGCAGTTCACGGACTGACCGTAAACGTTCGAAAGATGTTCATGGAAATGGACATCGAGTTGTTTGAAGAATGTCAAAGGCAGTACACGGAGCGGGAGATGAAGGCGAAAGACGTCGAGGAGCAGAGAGAGTTAGCTTGGAAAAGATTGGCAGATGTTGCAGCACAGAGAGGAGGAGACTACATGGTAACAGTTTAAAGTGAGTGAGTGTTGAAAATTGACTGTGATATAGATGGTCCAGATTTGATGACCCTCTCCAATTTTTTTGGAATTCTTTTTCTTTATCCTCTTTTTTTTTCTTTTTTTTTCTTTCTTTTTTTTGGGATCCAAACTCCTGTGAAGGTGGAGTTGAAGGTATCAGAAGAAAGAAACCAGCAAGCAGTAATTGTAATTTAAAAAATGTACGGAATTTGTTTAGTAGTTTTGCTGCAGATTAAGAATGATTTGTGAAATATTATTATGTGCTTTATAAATATATATATATATATAATATATATTTTTTTTTTGCCATCCTCAATCACTTTTTTTTTGGTTAACTTCCTGTTTAATACTCTTTCTTCTGAATTTGTAAAATTATAAGAACCATCTTTGCTGAATGTGTAGTTAAATTTTCTTTCAGTTTTTTTCTTTCATGTTAAGAATTGAGTTCCTTCTGTTATAGTAGGCACAGAAGGAAGCACGATAATCTATGAGTTTTTCATCAATCGTCTCGGTTCGAGGTAACTTTGTCGTTCTATTATTTGACCTTGAAAGGAATAGCCAAACCAACCTAGCTGGCTGGTCAATCTCAAAGATTATATCGGCTGAGAAACCAGAGATGGACGACCATAGTCCCGATTTTATCAGTACCGGAGGTTTTCTTTTTTTTGACGAATAGCCAAATCAAGCCAGTTGGTTGGTCAATCTCCCCGGAGGTTTTCTTTTTTTGACGAATAGCCAAATCAAGCCAGCTGGTTGGTCAATCTCAAAGATTATATCGGCTGACAAATCGGAGACGACGACCATAGTCCCGACTTTATCAGTACCGGAGGTTTATTAATCAATGAACCCTCGAAACTTACTTTCTTTTTTGACGAATAGCCATATCAACCCAGCTGGCTGGTCAATCTCAAAGATTATATCAGCTGGCAAATCGGAGACGGATGACCACAGTCCCGACTTTATCAGAATTAGAAGTTTACTAATCAATAAATCCCTGAAACGTACTTATTTTTCTGACGAATAGCCAAACCAACCCAGTTGGCTGGTCTATCTCAAAGATTATATCGGCTGACAAATCGGAGACGGACTACCACAATCCCAAACTTATAAGTACCGGAGGTTTACTAATCAATGAACCCTCGAAACTCACTTTCATTTATGACAAAATCAACTACAACTTATAAAACGGATCATATTTACATAAGATCATAAAAATATGAATACTATTGTCAAAAGAACCGTTAGTAAAATGTCAAAGTGAACATAGTTTAAGTGTACTATTAGTAAAACGCTAAATTGTACACCGTTCAACTATACGATTTACGGTTGAACACAGTTCAGAACTTTAGTACTAATAAAATGTGAACTATAAACTAAACTCAGTTCTGGCATGTAATGGCTGATGAATGGCTTTACATTTCAGGCCTTCCCGCCGTTAACATCAATAACTAGACGATCTGTCGTCATGGCACAAAGGCAAGTGCCAATGCACAAAAAGAAAATACCATAACAAAATATCGAAACCGGATCCGCGAGAGGCTTTCCGACATGTCGTCAGTGTAATCCGGGCCAGACCCAAGAACAAAGCCACCGCCACCATTAGAGCCAGTGGTCCACATGCCCAAATTGTTGTCCCTACTGCCGACGCCGAGTGGACCGGCGTGCCAGGTGAGCTGGTCGATTAGGGCGGCGGACTTGGGCTCGACGCTGTAAGCCTTCTCGTACTTGACTTCGAGGCCTTGGCCGGAAGTGACGAAGAAGGCGCCGTTGACGAGGATGTCGCCGTCAGAGCGCCAATTCCAGCCGCGCCACTCGGACTCGGCGGTCTCTACACGCTTGGTTACCTCCTTGGCGTTGCGGTCGTATGGGGCGGTGTAGCGGTTGCCTTGGCTGTTGATTGTGGGGTTCCCGCTGCCGCCGATTGCGTACATTTCCCATTGGGTGAAGTCGTTGTTGACCACGTGGATGTAGCCTCGCCGGCACCGTGGCATCCTTTGCACAAGCTTCTCGCCGAAGTGGTTGAATGCTATTGTTACCTTGAGTTGGATCATAGAATTTAGTGTTAATTTGAAAAAAAAAGGGAGAACAAGTAAAAAGGGAGGGGGAATTCACCTGCATTCCGGAGTCCGGCGAGTAGCTGTCACTGTGACCTAGTAACATAACCTCATCGTGATGCGAGAAATAATTGTTTGAAATCGTGATTCCGGTGGAGCCCATCACCGCATCAATCAGCCCATCCTTGCAATGCGAGAGCGAACAATGGTCAATCCATATGTCCTTAGACCCGAAGATCGAGATCCCGTCGCCGTCCGATTTCGTACGGTATCCGTAATGCGTCGGACTTGATCGGACCATGGTGTTCCCTGTAGAACCACGGCCAGGGACGAGTTTCAGATCGATGTATTTCGTCCAATATTAAGGTTAATAGGGACTTTTCGAATTTTCGATTTCGTTACCTGATGGATAACAATGGTGGATGTGGATATTGTGGATAATGACGTTACTTATGTATTGCAAGGTGATGCAACCGCCGCCGACGATATGGACGTTGGCGCCGCGGCCGTCTAGGGTTTTGTAGCTGTTAAAGATGAGTTCCTGTGAGAGTTTGATGAGCATATTGGCGGGGAAGACGATCCAGAGAGGCTGTGGCTGTATAACGGCGTATCGTAATGTCCCGGGCTCTGGATTGACTGGATCATCGTCGGAGTCATCTGTGACGACGTAGAACTCACCGTTCTTCCCTCCTGAAGCGTACTGGCCAAATCCTATGGCGCAATCGGCGAGGCGTTGGCGGTTGTTTGGCCAATTTGAATCGCATTTCCAGCAGTCGTCGATGGGGTTTCCGGTGTAGCAGGAAGAAGATTCGTCGTTCTCTGAGTTTTGGATCAGTCGCCTTCTTGTTATGGAATCATTCACTTTCCTACGACAGGTAAGAATTTCCTTTCAGATTTCTAGAAATTCATTGAACTTAGCGTTAAAACCTTCAAAACTGAAAATGATTTGAAGGAAGTATAGACGAAGAATGCAGGAAATAAGAACATAGTGATTTTCAGTGCTAGCCAGAAAACAGAGTAGCCAGGAACTGTAGTGAAAGAACAGTGCATGAATCTAACGAAGAACATAGTGATTATACAGTGTTTTTCTAGAAAAAAAAGCATGAATCTAACGAAGAACAGTGCATGTTGATCAAAATAAGAAACGAAAAGCAAAATCTGAGTGGAAATGGACTTTTCAAATTGAAAAAAAGAATCCACAAACAGAGCAACCAAGAACATACTAACAAAAATTGAAGAATGGTCAAGAAAAAAGAGCAATCAAGAACATACTAGCAGAAAGAACTGCATCTAAACTTGATTTTTGTACATCTAGTGCAAGAAATCATACAAAAAGATGCATAAAAATCTTGAAATGGGACAATAAAGTCCAGAAACTCAACAATGTGGTAAGAACATGGTGATTTGAAAACAACATTCTTGAATCTGAAATGGAAAAATGATGGACCTGTGAACTTCTTGAGCAACCAGTTCAGGGCTCGGATGCTGGCCGGGGAGACTGAGGTTGAGAGCGGTGCATGGCGGCGAGAGGGAGTGTAGCAGCAAAGCTAGCAGCACAGTACAGATTGCAGCCACCATTTTGGAGAACAAAAAATGTAAGCTCTCTTTCTCTCACTCTCTCTGCAATTGTGTTAGAACTGTCAACTGTTCTTCATTTTTTTGCCTTCCATGTTACCCTCAAAAGCATTCTGAATTCTCATCCTCCTGTGCTATATAATCATTTTCATGGACTTTTGGGATTCAGTTAGAGAGAGAAAGGGGGGAGAGAGAATCTTCGGTTCTCGAGGAGGAAAGTTGTATCCAATTTACTTCTGGACGAAATAAGTTTATTTCAGGTTCTTGATCTTCTATCTTCTAGTCGAAATTATAATATCTTAAACCTTTAAACTAGACTTAGGAAAAGTTCTTGATTCTCTATCTTTGAGTCGAGATTATGATATCTTAAACCTTTAAACTAGGCTTATGAAGGGTTCTTGATCCCCTATCTTTTAGTCGAGATTATGATATCTTAAACCTTTAAACTAGGCTTATGAAGGGTTCTTGATCCCCTATCTTTTAGTCAAGATTATGATATCTTAAACGTTTAAACTATGCTTATGAAGGGTTCTTGATCCTCTATCTCTTAGTCGAGATTATGATATCTTAAACCTTTAAACTAGGCTTATGAAGGGTTCTTGATACCCTATCTTTTAGTCAAGATTATGATATCTTAAACCTTTAAACTAAGCTTATGAAGGGTTCTTGATCAACTATCTTTTAGTCGAGATTATAATATCTTAAACCCTTAAACGATGCTTAGTGTATAGCATCATTAAGAAGAAACCTCCTCCGAAACAAGTTTATCTTATTATTTTGTTACTCTGTTAGTGTCTTATAACAAAACATCCTAAACTTATAGGTATTACCCACAAAATTTCTGCCTTTTTTTCCCCATTGAAATAAAGATAATGAAAACGAAAACAGAGGTGGCCGAAGATGATTGGTCTGCATAAATAACAAAACATATTTAGTTTAGATTTGGGAATGGGATAATAATTGTGGTGAGTAAAGTAGGTAATGTGAAGAGAAAAGCGCTTTCTTTTTGACTATGGGACTGCATCATTGAAGATTGGCTACCTGCTGTTCCCTATTCTGTTCCCCTCAGTTTACATTTTTGTAACAAAACATCCCAATTGGTCAGGTGGAAAAGGGATGTTCTTCACCCTTTCCTTCGTAACTTAACGGTAGGCAATGAGCATTTCTACTATAGGCCACTCGAGCTTTGCATTTCAAGTTCGTCAATTACTAGATACGTGAGCGAGTTCTCGGTTTTTATTGTTTAGGGTTTTGGTTCACTTCTACGCTTTCTAATATAGCGTTGAAAGATATCTGCTAATTCTCATTTTGTTCAACTTTTCTAGGCCTCATGAATGAGAATTTGATCTCATTCTTTGAGCCACCAAAAAAGCAAGCTATTACAACGAGTAGCTGAAAAAGGGAAGTCATGCTCTCGGTGGGATTGAAGAGCTTGTACAAGTTATTAATGATCAGTACTTATGTATAAATTTATAAAGAAACTTCCTTGAATTTTTATTTATTTATTTAATTTCTGTTAGTTTTTATAAATTTGATAATTATTTTTTTATAAAATTTATTTTACCCTTTGTTTGATTTTTTATGGTTAATCCTGTAAAATTAAACTGATAATTATCTTTTACGTGCATACATATAAATACAATTTTTTTTTTCATAAATGGTTTTTATTTATTTATTTAACCGAGTGGTAAATAGTAAGTAATCCACCATTTCCGGCGTATAACAAGGCACGAGCGGTCAAAAATGGAACGCGCGCACCATTCCACAGCATTATTCTTCCTTTTTTTTAAGACATCGGGCCCTTTAAGGGAGTTTTAACCCACGTCATGGAAATTTTAGGGCCGTTTTAGGTAAAAAATTGGTATATAAATGAATTGAGCGGAAACGTAAGTTACTGTTTATACTAATAAGTTGATTTTTCTTTTTTGGTGGCTCGATCAAAAAGACTTTAAATTTAAGTATACTTTATTTGAAGTAATTTGATGTCAAGTGCTTTATAATTGTCAGAGATTTAATATTAGAAATAGTTTGAATTTTAATTCATAATAGTTATTATAATTTTTAAAATTTTATGGACTGAATTTTAATTTTTTTTTTTAAATGATAAGTATCAAATTTGTAATTTAATATAATTAACTTTAGGTCAAGGATATTAACTTTCAATTTGAGTGTTTTAAAATAATTAAAAATGTTTTTAATTTTTTTTTAATATATTCAAAATTTCTAGAAAATAAAACATTTATTTATTTTAGTTACGTTTTAATAATTTTTTTATTCACAGCATTATTCTTTATTGCAACAAGCAATTCAATCGTTTATTTCCGCGCGTTGTTTTTAAATGTTCCTGATATAAAATCTCCATGGGAGAATGAAACGAGCGGGAAGCAAAATCACTGTTCAATATCCACTGAACTCCGAAATCTGAAGCGCCATTATCGGCTCTGCGAAGCTTTCGTTACTGAAACAGGAGTTGATAGTTGAGACGCTGCTAGGATTCTTTCCATGCCGGACTCTTTCCCTTCTTACGTTGACATTCAGAACGTTCTTGTTGACGGGGAGCAGTATGAGGTTGAAGATAGTGACGACGGGGAAGAGGAAGAGGAAGATGACGATGAAGAAACTGATGATGGTGAAGAGACAGTCGAAGGACATGCGGAAGAGAATGCTGATAATGTAATTGAGGCGCAATCGCCCAGGGCTTCTCAAACGGGTCCTTCGAGATCTGGTCAAGCTAGGGTTTCGTTTTGGGTTGAGGAAGAGGAAGACAAGCGGAGAAGGACCGAGGGTGGAGAAGGGAGTTCTTCAAATGGCGTTGGAAGTGTGGAGATTTCACAAGGGAATGAGTGGAATCGGAATGAAATTGACGGATTGTTTTGCCCTATTTGCATGGAGGCATGGACCAATTACGGTGAGCATCATATTTGGTACGTGCAACTAATCTTTTTTCCTCTCTCGCTCGCTTTCTCTTTTTTTCTATATGTAAATATTTTGTTTGGATCTTTTATGCGTGTGATAGGTTTTTATTTTCACGCATTATGTAACTTATCAATTTTTATAATGAAAACTTGTCACTTTTAGAGAGAAAAAGAAAAAAAAAAAAAAAAACAAAACAAGTGTGATTGATGGCTAATTTCTCAGTTCCATTTTCCACTTTTGTTGATGACGGTTTATAAGATCTTTTCCATGGGGCTATATAATTAATTGTTCATGAAATTTTGTAGCTAGTTCAGATTTGAACTTGCTCAATTGCCTACACTTTAGAGCTGTCCTGTTCTCCTTCTTTCCCCACCCTTCTTCTTCTTCTTCTTCTCAAAAACAAGAAAATTATCCTTGTAGGACATAATTTCAAGTGCTTCATCATGTATATAAAACTCTACTTTGAATAGTTTGATTTGATGATTTAAGGGCATGTATTATTTTCAGAAATGTATATATGTGGTCTCTCTTAATCAGGCCTTTTATTTTCGCAAGTCTTAGATAGTCAGGGGCAGAGCCAATGAATTAACAAATGAACTAGATCATTATCCATTTTAATGGGCCTTGAAGTCATAGTTCGTCCGAGGAAATCAATAATAAAAATAAAATAATAATTAAATTCCTAAAGTCATCTAACTATCTCATGTTACTGCAGCTGTCTTCCTTGTGGGCATCTATATGGCATGTCTTGTATCAATAGATGGCTGCAACAACGTAGAAAGGCAGGGAAGGTATCTGTCCACACAATGATTTAAGTCATGGATTTGGACAAAATTATGAATAGTGTACTAGAAAATTAATCTTTACCCCCTCCCACCAAAAAAAAAAAAGTGTCCACAGTGCAATAGGAAGTGTTCAATGAAGGATGTTAGGAAACTTTTTGCATCACGAATTGTTGCTGCTGATGAAGAATCTCAAAAGGTTTTTCTAAACTCTATGGTTTTAATATGTGCCTTTAAGTTTTAAGGAGGAAGCTAATCTTGATAAGGATTCTGCTTGTTTTACAGAGAATTCAGTCCCTTGAAGCTACTTGTGCCTCTCTTGAGACGAAGGTCGGTAGAACCCATCACTTCTTTAAAGTAACTAAATATAAGTTATCTTCTAAATTTGCAGCCTTTTTTTTTTAAATAAAAAATGAAGTCAATTAGAACTGAAAAAAAAATGATAACTTCTCTCAATAATCTCTTACAAACCCTCTAATTTTTTTTAGAAGTTTCACTATCTTATTATTGATAGTATTAAATAAATTATTACATTTTCCTATTGTGTGCCTCTAAGAAAAACTCATTTTCTATTGTGCTTTACTTTGCCTCACTTTCATGAACACTAATCTTAACATATGATGACGTATCTCTTATGTGTGTTCCTTATGGCTTTCAAGCCCTTATATATACTTTCCATTTGGTTTCATTCTTGATCTTTAAACAGTGATGTATCATTCGTATTTGTTTGCTATGGTCTTCAATGTGTAGAATGCCAATTGGTGTAAAAAAGAAGTTGAATGGAAAAAGAAAGAAACAGACTTGCAGTCAAAAGTTCATGAACTTACCGAGGTACATTTTTAATTGCAAAGTTCCGTACAATTAACTCCTCTTCATGGGTTGGTTGGCTTGTTAAGTATCTTAGTGTTGATCTGTCATGGCACCTGCTACATGTTGAGGTGCACTTAGGTTGCGTCCACTTTTATCCTTCTCCGTAGTCTCTCCCTTAAAATTTTTTGTTGGGTTTGGTGTATGCCTCCTTTTATAATGATTTTGACCATTTGCTATTGTGATGCCGTTTTTAAATCGTTTACCAATGTGCTATCTTATGCATCTTGTATCAAACTGTTTTCATCGAGTTGTATTTTCAACTTTCAATTTATTTCACCTAGCTTGCGTAGGTGACTATTTTTGTGGTTTTTTATGCACTTCCATGCTATGAACAATTATGAGATATGCCAACTCAATGATCAAACCATAAACAAAATGCCCCAAGTTTTGGTTTCCAAAGGCCATCATGCCATTGTTTGAATTTACACATTCGAATAGGAGGTTCAAGTCTCTTGGGATACATCAAATAGTCGATTACTTTTGGAACTGCATTTCCACCTTTACGTGTCAAGAACTATGCAACATGCATTTCCATATGCTTTTTTCCTTGTTCTACTGTGCATCCTCACCGATGTCATCTCAATCCTTGGATGCTTGGTTCCCATATGGATATTTTTGAGTCTAGCAATGTACCCATACATCTGTGTTAACCAAGAATTTCCTGGCTCGTCTAGAAATTCTGTCTTTATAATTGGTTAACCAATTAACTTACAAAAACCAATTTGGTTGGTCCTGTTCTTGCTTTGTTGGTTCTTGGGTAAGTCTCTTGCTCGGAAGTGATCCAAAATTCTTAGGAGTGGAGTAGGTGGGGAGCAAATTTCTTAAGTTTTGAGATGAGCAAACTTCCAGCTGCAAACAAAATTACATTATGAGTTCTGAATGAAACCAATAAAATTTTTGGTTTTAAACCAGTTTTGTTTTATGTTTGAGTTTTTTTTAAGCTGTATTATTAAGTAATTAATATCTAATTTTTTACAGAGGACAAATTATTTGGAGCATTTATTAGAAGATACAAAGAGAAAACATGAAGTAGCCCATCTTGATTGCATCTTTGAGGGGAAATCTGTATCCGGTACTTGCAAAGTTTAGTTAGAGACATCTTCATTCTAGAATTTTTGTTGCTTTAATTGCATCATGTCCACCTGGAACTCTAAACTCATGATTTTATTGTGATGTTTTTTCATTCCCATGTCTTTTGAAATTAAATCTGTAATAATGATGAGGATGGCGTCTTATCCTTTGATATATTTTTCAGATCATAACTTTGGCTTAAGGTTTAGTGGACAGGTCTCTTCTTGCGGTTTTATATTAGAGGTATTCTATTGGGAATTCTCAATTTTCTTTTTAGTTTCTACATGCTGTATTTTTTTTTTTGTACGATTTCAAGGAAATATTATGTTTCTTGTTTTTTAAAATAATAAAGAAGGCTACAGCTGTGATGACTTCATCTTCATTCATGCAATGCCAGTTTATTTTCTGAACTTAAATTTTTATTAATTCTTGAAGTATGAAATGTGATTGAATGGAGTTGGAAAATATTATTATTTTTCAAATTGCACGTGGAACTATTTTCTTTTACTAAGAGATAGTTTTTGAAGACAGAAATCTTATTGAAGGAAGTCATTCTCTTTTTAGGTGGGCAAATAAAAATTGTTTTGTGAAGTTTACCAACTTTGCTTATTTGAAGTTTACGGATTAAGTTGTTATTTCAACATTCATATTCTAAGAAAGAATTTTAGTCAACAACTGAATGACTTTAAGATTTTGGAAGATAGCTGGTGCATAATTGGAGTGGAGACTAAAATTTATTTAATTCTAATGAGATTTTTCTTTTTAATACATGCTATCTGGAAAGTTTATTGAATCGTCCATTTCCTTTTAAAAGATGTTCACTCATAATCCTGACATCACAGTTTGGTAATTTA